GAGAGAACAGCAAGAGTGCACAGTTAGGAGAAAGGGCTGAGGGAGAGAGAGGAGGAAGAAGAATGGGAGAAACAGCGCTATTTGTTTCATTGCAATAAACTAAACTGTGCCCTTGCCACGGGGTTGGTACAAAGCCAACTGAAAGGGTTTGCTGCATTTGCCACAGAGGCATGAGAAGGAGGCAAAGTCCGTGCCTCAGTCACTGGTTTGATAGCCTGGTGTCCCAGTGCCCTGATGGACCTATGGTGGTGGTGTCTGCCAGCAGACCACGGTACCCTGCTCCCCTCACATCTATTGCCTCACCATGGCAAAGGTGTTGGATCTGTGTGGGAGTCAACTGCTGAGCCTGTATGTCTTGGATCAGTGCTCCACATGGTCCTGATTAGTCATAGAGGATGCCTTCTACTTTTTTGTTTCAATTTCACTTCCTCAGGACTGCACGTGTGTCTGCCCCCAGACCCATTATCTTTATCCACAGCACTTTTAAAAACTATTCAAATACTTCTAATGACTTGTTACTTGGGTGCCAAATAAAATAAGTAGAGCAGGATATTTTTCATCAACTTCTTATTAAAAAGAATGTAAAAACCATTAATTGATACAAAGTCATAAAGATCTGGGCCTCCAGTTCTTCTCAGAGCCCTTAGGGTGAAATTAACCCTCAAGTAGAGGCTTTTTTAAAGGCTTTTACAGCATGCCTCCCATGGGGGGTCTGAATAAAGATGTATGATGGAATAATTTTACTGTATAATTTTCAAGTTCAGTATCTGCCTCGATCTTTTGAGTGTTTAGCAGACTTATGATCTTGCAGTACATATATTGATCCCTAATCTTTGACAAATTGAGAGTTGCAGTGTAACGCCACATTAATAAATTTGTCAACTTGATAAAAACCTGACCCAGAATAAAGCAATATTTAATGCTAGGTATATATAGTATAGAAATATTTATTATCTGCTTATTGTATATGAACTTGAGATTAGTTTTGTAGCTGTATGTCATATAATTACTCACATATACATACACATTATATGTACACATCGTATTGTGTGTATATATCTAAATATGTATTATCAGCTGTTGTGGGGAAAAGTCTGAGGAAAAAAAGGAGTGGTGAATACCACCGGGTTTACTTTGTGATACACTGAATAAAGTATGCTTCCAGCCCAAACTAAAGAACGTATTGCTATGACTTAATATGACATTTCTAACTGAAGAATGTAACTTCAGAACAAGAGTAACTGGTTGTACTTTCTTATACTGTTCCTTGTGATTTGATGCAACTTTTCCTCTGTATGTTTTCTTTAATTTTTATGTTTTATGTGAAAGCTGAACAGGCTGAATTTGTTTGTAATTTGGAATTTAAAGCAAGGCTCTTTGTTAAAAGCCCAGAGGAAGTTTCCCTATGACTTATAGGCCATTTGGGCTCAATTGAATTTAATGGTTTTCAGCTGCACCTCCACAATGGCTTTGAAGGAAGTGAAGGGAGATCTATAGGTCTTAATTGCTCAAGACTGGCTTGTTTCTCTTGAAAAGGCTGTTTGCAAGAAGCAGGTTGGGAGTATTAAAGTATATATCCTGAAAGGGGTGAAGGAGCTGCTGTTTGAGGAAGGGGCTAGGATGAAAATAGCTTTAAGATGTTACTCAGGAGCTGAACTAGTCACTCTGAACTGGTCCGTGCTAGGTTCTTGTTTGTTTGCATAAGAATTATCAAATAATTGGAGGGCATGGCTAATCCAAACTTCCTTTATTACTCTTCCAAGAAATGAATGGAGATCTTGGAACTGACAAGATAAATTAGGCTGAGACCAAGAGAGAAACCCAAGCAGATAGTCCCTTTGGCCCCTCTCATGCTGTTTTACAGACATGAGTTTTTGAGTCAGCAGGTGAACCATGACTTCTAAGAGCAGTGGTTTGTTTATACTTCCACTGTACAAAGCATTTCAGTGGAATGGAACAGATCTAACTGTGCAAATTTCTATTTCATATTTCCTTCTGTATGTGGGTTGCCAACTGGCCTTATAGATTGTTTTTACTAAGTTTGCTAGCATTATCTCTGGCTTTGCATTGGGAGGTGTCTGACCAATAAGAATTTCTTATGACCTTGTTTTCCAGGCAGGCAGGAGAATATGTGAAATGCAAAGTTAGGAATATAAAGGAACTATTGTCTTACTCCAGATAAACCAAGAGACCATATTACAGGAAGTTAACCTTTGGTGTACTCTGTCGTTTTGGCCGGCATCATACAGGCAAGTAGGAAGGGGACATTCTCCTGAGGTACCCGGCAGATGAATGCCAGATGGTACTGTCATAATACACAAAAAATAGCTAAATACCCACCACTTGTGTTCCACACAAAAGGAACATTTTTCTTTTTCTCAGTCCTGCAGGGCAAAATTCAGACAAGCATCTTAATGCAAACATCACAGTAACTGAAATATGAGGCTGGAAATCCAAAGAATTCTCCAAAAGCTTTAAGTAGCTTTTTAGGCTTGATTCATGTTGGGCCTAATGGATCCTCAAAGGGGAGAATGGTTTATCAGAGACAAGCATTTTAAGTACAGCATGTTTACGTGGTAGATAAATGGTAGTTTGTTACATAAAATAGGAAGGTTTGATGGAGAACAAAATGTAAGAGCTTTGCTGTTGAGGCCAGTGCTGCCTATATTGTCTGGATAAGTAGATCCAATCCCCAGACTAATGCCTATGTCAAACTGTGGGGTCTAATTTTCTGAGGGGAATGTTCTTCTTTGGTGGTTTTTGAATCTTGGTCAGAAATGAGTAGAGAAAATCTCAGGGCACTGTCATCAACAAACGAGAGATGCTGCAGCACCTAGGTGAGGGGGAAACGTTTACTTTTCCCTTGTTAAAATATACCCATTTCAATTTCCGTGCAAGATTATAAGAAAAAAAATATGCTGCTCTTTAGTGGAATGGCATTTGGCTAAATACCATGCATTTCTACAAACCTTAGATGTGAAGGGCTGCATGCAGACATTTACATAAAACATTATGGATGTTGATTCGGAGAAAACTCCAGGAACAAAGTCGCCAACAGAGGTTCAAGTTGACAAGCAGGTATTCATTATTGCGGCGCCGGGAGACACAGGGGATAGCTCCTCCTAACGTGTGTCGCCGTATTCCCATGCGGGCCATCCTTAGGTGGTCTCTGGGCATATTACATCATTTTCCAAAACGTTTCCGGCGTGCATACAAAAATGCGATGGTGGTTTTAAGGGTCGTTCACTTTTCCCAACAATCTCATCACCAGCCTAATTAACGTTACAGACACAGCAATCATCCTGCCCTTCTACTTACCAGTTGGTTTAACTGCTCCCATCCTGGACATCAGCTAGTCCCAGATACCCCCCAGTAGATGTTTACACCAGCTTAATGGATTTATTAACACCACAAACACAGCAATCATCCTGTCCTTCTACTTATCAGTTGGTTTAACTGTGCCCATCCTGGGCATCTGCTAGTCCCAGATACTCCCCATCCCCAGGTCCTGTTTTTCTATTCTGTTTTTCTTACACCTTTTGTACTAAGGTCCTAAGGTCAATTACCTTCAAGCACCGCAGTTATTTTCCATTACAAAGCCATCAAACTTAACATTACATAGAACTGGTTACATTTTGTGCTTTTGTGCCTCCTTGTCTCAATGTGGAGCTGGGTCTCAGTCCTATAGGAATAATATTTCTGCCTGCCTGGATCTTTCAAGCTATTAGATTTACTGCCTGCAGATAGAGGCCAAGTAAGTAGGTAGGTGTGGTTCTGTGACAAACTGAATGGTTAGCTCTGCACTTCATCTCTTCTCCTTAAATCCTGTCCACCAGGCTGTATACAGCCTGTTTTCCTAACAGCTGAGTTGACCTAGTTTGCTAAAGCAATACACTTGTACGTGCATGCCTAAGTCATTATTGTTCTGTATTCTGGCCTATTCAAGATTAGAGAAGTCTTCCTCAAAGCTTCCCAGAAATGCTGCTAATGTTTGTCCATTGTCTTCGGTGGTTGCATCTTCTTTCATTAACTAGGGTAGCTGGTGTTGAAAACCAAACAGAACATAATGACAGACCATAGTGAGCTGTCTGTTGCTGCAGATGGAGGATACCTCTAGGATTTGGGTCAGAAAATACTTGGCAAGCATCCCTCTGAATTATTCTTGTCATATTTTGAGGAAGCCTGCTTAGTGGCAGGGGTGAAGAAGGAAGCTGAAATCTTAAAATGGCTGCAATGTGATTATTTTGTTTTGTTTTTATTTAGTATCAAAGCTATTTACAGCGTATCTTGCCAATTTATTCGTACCGTTGCTGGCATGTTTTTTTTTTCCTGATTCTTTGCTTTCAGAACAGGAAAAAACTCCCCACAATCCCATTTAAATTTGCAATGGCAGGAAAAACGAGGCTTACTTATGCCCCCTTTAGAATCGGACCTTGCAGAGGTACTATAAGAAGCCATTTGTTTTCTTTAAACAGTTCAGCTTCACACAGGCTCACACACACATTCAGATGGTTTCCACTTGAAATTCCTCATATAATCCAAATAGCTCTCAGCCTTGACTGCCTAGCTGTAAAAGGGCTCCCCTGCCCTGTGCCTCCCCAAGCATGTGGTGCTGAGGGCTGGAGAAGGCAACACACTCAGGTGGTTTGCATGCTTTTGCTTGCTTGCAGAGGCGTTAGTCCCCTCTTTCTCTGCTGCTTGTGAAAAGGAACAGAGTGATGTTTGAGGGAGTTTTTCGTTTGTTTGGAGACTCTTTAACACACACTCTGCTGTCTTGGGCAGATTCAGTTTGGGGTTTGCAGACCTGCAAAAAGAGGACATCATGTTTAAAGCTGATAATAGGGCAGATCTACATGGCCTGGAGGTGAAACAGAAATGAAGTGCACCATTACACTGTCTTTACCCTTGCTATTCTGTCTGTTTAAACTAACATCATTTATTGTTTATAGTTCTTCAGTACAGTCTTTTAAACAAATACCTTTTTGTTCTTCCTCTTCTAGAGAAAGAATGTAAGATTTGGGATGGATGGGTGGTGACAGAGCTGTTGGACCCTACTGCAGCTGTTGGCTCATAGACTCTTCTATCCGGGTAGTCCATTTTCCCTAGGAAAGGTTAGAAAACGCTAATGATCAAATACCTTCTTGTACCAAGACATTGTCCCTTGATGCAGTTGAAGTTGCTGTGGCTGCAAGCAGGGGAAGAGGATGCTGCAGGCATCAGGCTGGCCTGGAAGGAATGACTGTAGAGATGGGAAAATGCCCGCATTTCATTCCAGGTCCTGGACATGCTTGAAACTGTATTCCACTGATTTGTCAAATTCCTTTATCTTTATGGGGACCTGCAAATTCAATTTATCAATCACAATGCAGTATATCAGCAGCTTTTTTTGTGTTTAACCAGTAGGAACTATTTTGCAGATATATCTCCTTTGTCTGCATATCATCTGCAGAAGTACTTGGTGTGTCTATACATGCAGACCAGACTTCTTCATTTATATTGCCATACCAGTTGTATTGCTCATTGATCCACTCTATAGAACTACAAAATCATAACACTTTGATGCGCATTTTAATATATCATATCCATTTTTTCTTAGAGAAGAAAGGAAGTTATTTTGTTTCATGTTTTCAATAATGTGTATTAATTTTGTGGCTCAAAACCATGAAAAATGAAAAAAAAAAGTGAAAAGACACAAAGACTTTTGTTCAAGAAGCTTTCAAACTAAATTGAGACTGAGGTGATGAGTTAGCTTAACAGAAGTGGGGCAGTAGGTTAAGGAAGGACAAGGGTTACAGAAATAAGATTAAATGCAATCCATGCAGTACACCCTAGTATACTTCCTTATTCCCTGCTCTAGCCAGATGCTGCAGAGAAATGGCTAAAGATTAGCTCTCAAGGGCAGGGAATTATCTTTGTGGTGTTTGTTGTTACAGTGTCTAGTTCAATGGACACTAGTCCCCATTTGAAATCTGTGTGTTATGACAATGCAAATAATACACACAAAATAGTAGCAGTAAGATCCCTTGGCCCAGCTCCTTTATGAGTCTTGTGCCCCCTTTTTTTTGGCTGGAAAAAAGGAAGGGCTGTGCAGCTCATGGGGATGCAGCCATTATTTTGGGTGTTTATTCTTATCTTTTGAAGTTTGCTCATCCCTTTCAGAAAGGATATTTCAGCCTGTGACTAATTTTGATTTTAACCCTACCCCTCTCCCTATTCCATACTTAGTGATATATGAAATGTTTGGATCTGACTACGTGGAGATAGGAATACCAGAAAAGAGGGCCATATACTATCTGGGCATAGTCTGGAGCCCAACTTCTGATGAGGAAGCCAGAACAGGATAGATAAATTTTTTGAGAACAGTAGTTGTCAAGAGTAATTTTCCTGCAACTCAGATACTTGCAAAAGAGGCATCAGAAAACACTCATACCTGACCAAAGGTTTTTGGTTCTGATGGCTGAAGTGAAGTATGGGTTTGAAACTGTTGCTCCCTGGCCTGCTGAGGCCTGGTAGGTCCAGGTCTATTACTGCCCAGCAAAGCTTGCCAGAGCCAAAAAGATCAGTAGCTTTGTGAGCCATGAAATAATGTGGTCTGCTCCGTCAGGATTGCCATGTGCAATTGGCTCCAATACACTGGTCTTTGGAATTTAAGAATACCCTGGAAAAGTCAACTGTGTTTAGAGCTTAGTTTTATATGTGGTCTGAGCCCAGCATCCATGCCTTAGACATACTTCTAACATATTTTGGCTGCATTGTGAGGTGTTAAAATTTAGCTGGAAAAGAGTTTAAACACTGCTGCTTTGGGCCCCACAGTGGCCATCCTTCTCTGCTCCTTTACCTGTTATTTCATCCTTTAAGTCCAACTCCCTCCAGAAGCACGAGCTCTCACGCAGCTGGTAATTCTTATGTGTCCAAGTAATGTGGATTTGGGTCCAGAAGACATGGTCAGTTTGTCTAATTAGCTTCCTGTCACTACAGCCAAGGCAGAAATTTAAGGTACACTAATTCATTTTATAGCTACTCTATCTGGCACTGGATATAGATTGGAAAAATTCTTTGCTTGAGCGAGATGTGTGGTAATATTGTTATGCTATATTAAAATCCTCTTTAAAAATAAATTAGATTCTCATGAGTGCAAGCGACTAGTATCCCGTACCACAGCCAGACCAGGCAAATCTCCTCCTTACCCAAGACTGCTAAATTCTTCCATGAAGAGGAAAGCCAGGTAAAAAGTTGTACCCTACTTTTTTTTTCAGTCACTCTTAAAGGCTTTGTTGTTCTGTCTTCAGAAAGGCTAGATAGAGCATTAGCTGTGGGCAGAACACATTAGGAACCATACCTGTTCATCAGAGCTGTGCTTGCACATCTCCCCATGGCAAAGCAAGCTGGTGTGTCAGAAAAAGGTCTCAAATATTTAGGGCAGAAATACTCCTCTTTTAAGTGCTGTTTTTCTTATGTGTCTTCCTCTCAGCTCCCAAAAGCTGCCCCTTATGAATGGAAAAAGATATGCACTTTCAAATTCTGTCCTGGGCAATGAGGGCTCATATCTCTCTCTCACATTGATACTGTAATTTCACACTTTTTTTTTTTTTTTCCAGTGGTTGAGCCTTTTCTTGTTATATATGACATGCATGTTTTATTTTCATTAGGGCTTCTATAGTTTGAGCAGCCTGGTAGAATCATAGAATAGTTAGGGTTGGAAAGGACCTTAAGATCATCTAGTTCTAACCCTCCTGCCATTTGCAGGGACACCTCACACTAAACCATGTCACTTATATGATGAATAAGGGAAAGGGAAGTGGCTGGGTGGAAGGGGTGCTCCTGAAGGAAAGCAGTTGCAGGAGCCAGTGGGCTGTCCCATATCCTAAATAGTGCCACTTTTGTCCTCTGCACCACTGCCCTCCCCCAAATGCTGCAGGGTTTTGCTGACACCAAAGCCTCCAGTAACACCACAGCCTTTTCAACTGCTGTCACAAAGCAGTAAGTCCACATCGTGGGGAAGAAACTGGGCTGGAAAGTGGAAGGTATCAGTCAGAAATACTGTCTTTTGCCTTGCCACGTGGATGAGACCAGGGCGTAGAGAGTCTATGGGTGATTAGCTGAGCTTTTGCTTAAACAAAAAAAAAATGCCCAATGTTGTACTTGTTGGATGGAAACTAAGATAAACTAGATAGGGGTCAGGCTCTCTGATAACTCTGATTTACAGTAGCTAGACCATTTTATCTGAACGATGTCATGTCCCAACTGTGGTTAATTGCCACCCAATTATCAAAACTTTCTGGCCTGATCAGCATCTCAGAAGATCTCACACGTTATTAGTCTTGTCTTTCACTCAGAGAAGGGCAAGATGTGGAACCCTTTGTAGGAAGGAAGATGGGAATGCTGCTCACTGCAGTTTGTATCTTGACTTAATGTAGCTGAATATTTAACTTGTTGAAGAATAGTTTGACAGTTACATGGAAGCTACTTTTTTCCATGCCTGCTGATGGGGCACTTGTATCATCTGGCTGCTGGTGCTAAACCATTTGCTTGAAGAGAGTTATTCAGGTTGAATCTGATCTCTGGGCACTGCCGAGGGTCTTCAGGTTTTGTGCTTTAATTCTTTATGGGACTGGCCATACATAGGAAGACATCCTAATTAGAATAACCTATCTGCAAAGAAAATACTTATGCATTAAAGGCCACCCCAGACCTGTAAGGTTGTTATGTAGCAAAATAAAGCTATATATATCTGTGGATAAGCATATACAGCTTAGGTTTTGAATACCCAAAGGATGCTTTCCCCTGGATGTCTATTACTGGTAAAGGTGCAGCATCAGAAATATTAAACAGATTCCCTGAGCAGGACAAAAACTGATAACTGGCCTATAAACTCCATGTTCCCTGAAATGCAGCCCACACTGTAGCAATGCAATCAGACTTCCTTTATAAGAAACTTTCATGTACTCTCCTAATTCTTTTCCTCCTGCATTCCCACCTTCCTTCCCCTTGGCATTCATTCACACTGACGTTACTAAAGTTGTCTCTGAAGCTGGCCTAAGGAGTTGTACATATTATTTACATCACAACAGAGCCTGGGGGCATCAGACAGGACTGGGGGCTGTTGTGCTAACTGCTATTCAGCCTTTAAGTACAAAGGTAGTCTGTCCCAAAGAGATTTCTATCTTGAATTTTAACAGGTAGACAGAGGGAGATGATTGTTTTGCTGATGCTTCAGACTCTTCATTCAAGTTGCTGCGAGTAGCAGTCTTTAGGAAAACCTGCAACAAAGCAGGGGTATCACACAAGACTGTTAAATTGAGACATCCTGAGCTCCTTACTAGCTGCTGGTGCAGAAACCACAGCAGCCAACCAGTGGTGTGTAACACAAACTGGGTGGAATTAAAGTGAGCACAAAGATTTCCCAGATTTATTGCGAGTCCAATCTAATGCTCATATTCAGAGCATGTGTGTATTTCCACCTGAAAAGAAAATAAAACAATCTCCCCAAGTCCCTCAGAGTCAACTAGATTTTTTAAAGCTCTTCACTGGAAAAAAAAAAAACAAAACAACCCAACAACAAAACCCTTTAACCCATTTAAAGCCATGTTAGAAAGTCAGCCTGTAAGTATACAAAACACTGGAAACCATCATATGCTAATCTGATCTTAACAAAACACATAGCATTACCAAGTATAATTATACAGTCCAGCTATTAGTAGCCTTACCTCTGGCTGTTCTCCATCATGCTTTCAAGCTACATCCTTTCCTTTCATCTTATTCTACACCACATGAAACAGGTGAGCTGTTCCCTTTATATAGTTCAGGGCTCCAGTCACGTGGCTCTCAAAGCTTGGTATCTTCATTTAATCAGTTGAAAGAATCAAAATAATCAGAGACATTTCATGAAGTCCATGCCAAAAATTGATTCTGTTAAGTTCTGTTAAATTCAAAGTGTACCAAGTTCAAAAATCAAGAAAAAAAGATTATTTTTTCCTAGGAACATCTACTTTGAAAAGCTGCCCTGGGGGGTACATTTGTAGTTTAGGAGAATATCTCTCATGAATCACCCATACATCACTGCTAGCAAGTTCCACAAAAAGAGAACTCCAATGCTTTTTATTGTCAAGGCAACACTGTGGGTTCTGCATCCCATTTGTTCACGCATAGATAGTAACAGCATCCACTCTTTATCTGATTCCATTTGAATTTTTACCTTGACTTAACTGCTACTGACTTGTTACAGGAAAGCACAAGTTGTTTAGGGTTATCCTCACCAGTAACAACTTTTGACAGCAAGGAGATGGTGGATATTTCCCCTAAAGTCTGTATTTGGTACCTCACTGCTGGATTGGATGACAGTGCTGAGTTAAACTGGATAGAGCAGCCATTTTCAGTTTTGAGGTCTTTGAATGCATGGGTGGGACAAGTAAATTATTTGTAAGGGGTCTGTCTGTGAAAGGTGACTCAAGGCTCATGACAATAGGCTTAACCTGAAGTTAAGGAGCCTGAAGTGCCCCTTAAAAATGCTGTGGAGTCTGCACACTGGAAAAGATGAGAGCTCTGGGGCTACACTCTATGCTCCGATTTAGGAGCTTGGGTCCTGTTATCTGTTATGTAATACTTTCTCTAACACAAGACTAACCTCGCTTTCTTGCATATGGGTATCTCAGGCCCACCATGACCATCTGACCGCAGAGAGTGCAGATATTGCCCTGACAGGCACACAGCACTTCTGTTTCTCTCCATAATCCCATGTTTTTCTTTACAGCATCAGCTAAATTGATAATTGTTGTTGGGTGCATGAAGGTGATGACACATCAGAGGTCTCAGGGTTAGGCCTCTGAGAAGCTGCAACAGTACCTTACAGGTAAGTCAGGTATTTCCTGACCTTCCTATAGTCCAATGAACAAAACCAGGGAGACATCTTACTGGGTTTCTATCAAGATCTGTGCTGCCTTTAGCAGTAGAAGAGACTTAAGATGTCTGTTAGTATGAGCATAAATAAAATGTGTGTGCAGGGGTTTGTGAGATGAAGAGATGTATTTTCCAAACAGAGAAGTACTTGGTGATAGTTTTACTGTCAGATCACCTGCTCTGTGAAGTCACCTTCCAGACATGGGGGGGGGGGTGTGTGTCACTTTATGTTTGCTAAAAAACCTTTGGAGATCATCTGGTCCAATCTCTTGCTCCAGACAGGGTAGACTTCAAAGTTAGGTCAGGTTGCACAGGGCTGTGTCCCTCAAGCTCTGAGGATCTCCACGGGTGGAGATTCCACCATCCAGGCACCTTAGCAATGATGAGCTTTTTATTTTTCCTGGTATTTTTCTCTCCTCATATCTCATCAAAATTTCCCTGGTGGCAGCTTCTGCCTGGTGCCTCCCATGCTTTCACTGTGCTCCTCCAAGCAGAGCCTGTCCCTGCCTTCTCCATGCTCTCCCATTTAGTACTTGCACACTGCACTATGATCCCCCTTTATTCATCTCTTTAAGTCTGAACAAGCACAGCTCCCACAGCTTCTCCTGCTGTATTGTGTGCTCCAGCCCCCTGGCCATCTTGGAGGCCCTCCAATGGACTCCCTCCAGTATGTCCTCATCAGTTTTGTACAAGGGAACCAAGGCAGGACACAGCATTCCCAATGCAAGCTCCTGAGTGCTGAAGATGGAGGAATAATCACTTCCCTCAATCTGCTGGCTACATGCTTGCTGAAACAGCCTGGTGTTTGGGGTTGAGTCACAAGGAGTAGGTGGAGGTAAGCATGGGTTAAGGATGGATATGCTGTAGGGCACTGAGGTAACACTGCTACACACACTCCTATTGCAAATAGGATGGCATGGTTTCGGCAAACAGGGTGTCTGCTCACAGCTTTCTGCCCCACCCTGCTGTCTGGAGATGCTCATGAATCACTGTAATTCAAAAAGAGTATAGCTTGCTTTCAATTGCCGCAGCTGTGAGCTGCGGCACTCGCTCAGATGATTCACAAAGGGTTCAGCCTCCCAGGCCCAGGGGTTTGGGAGGCCACCGGTTGAAATGCCAGACACTGCAACTTCATCTGTGTACAAGGGGTTTTACATGTACCATGGGACTTGGTGGGATTTGAATTAAAACCTCAGTGGTTATTCTTTTCTGTCCTTTTCCTCTGTTACTCTGCATTTGCTATGGAAGCTGTCGGGCAGTGTTAACTGATTTGTTTGCTATTTTGTTATTGGATTTGGCTGGAGAACTGTTGTGGGGAACTGTGTGGAGGGGAGTTCTCCCTCTTCTCCTAACTCAGCTTAGGAAATGTGGCAAGGTCATCAAAGAGTGGGCAATTTTTTTTGTCAAGCCGTAAACAGATTTCATATGGGTCATGACAGTAACTCCAACATTAATGCTACCACTACCAACAGTCTTACAAGAACTGTGAACTATTTGGCAGAAAACTGGCAGTTCTGTAACCAAAATCCGATTTTGCAGGAGAGTTAGCTTTGTGCCTTTTTTTTGGATACTGTTTTGCTGTTGTGAAAAGCTATACATATGGAAGCCCATTAGAGCCTAAGGCTATTGTTGATACAGTCTTGACTCATTCTTGGCACTCCTTCTTCACCTTCGTTTGATAGCTTAGCTGGTAAAGTGGCTGTCTCTAGAAAGTAATTCTTAGGTTGCTGGTTCAGTTCAAACTTAAAGAAAAGGGTTTCGGGTATTGTTTGAGTTTTTGTCTTTCACTTATTTCTGGAATTTACGACTTTGCAGAGCTGTCCTTTCCAACTGCATGTCACTACGCCCTGTGAGAAGTTTGGTCTGCTTAAAACATACCACTTTCAAGGATATTTTCACTATTCTCCTTGTCTACTTCAGCTGGTTGTTACAGCTATGGTGCTTTGACCATTGCTACCTCTCTACCTAATCAGCTGATGCCCATCATAGAATCATAGAACGGTTAGGGTTGGCAAGGACCTGAAGGTCATATAGTTCAAACCCTACTGCCATGGGCAGGGACACCTCCCACTAGATCATGTTGCCCAAGGCCCTGTCCAACCTGGCCTTGAACACTGCCAGGGATGGAGCAGTCACAACTTTTGTGGGCAGCCTCTTCCAGCACCTCACCACCCTCACAGTAAAGAATCATATGAGTATGATAAGTAAAGTATCATATGAGCTTCTCTTCTGCAAGGGCTCAAAACCTTCCACAGATTCTTGTTAGGTAGAGCAGACAGTGCAGGGCTTGCAGAGCCTCTTTTAGCTGTGTTGGGTATGGAAAATATGGGCAAGTCCAGTTATTGGGGACTCCTTATTGCTGGTTTTATGCCTTTTTGTATCCCATTCTTGCATTTTGAAGTTTGGAGGTTTTGAGTGGAAAGAGGGACGCAACTAGGAGAGGGGGAAGAAAAATGGTTTTGTGACAACAGGAACATCATGATCATTTAGGTCCAGCTGTTTTGTCTGAGACAGCCACTACATGCAACTATAATAATTTGCCTCGTGAGAGGGTTGTGAATACCACTGTCCACACTGCCCTGAAGTGGATCATTTCCATGCACTGTCTTTTAGTGAAGAACTCTGAAGGTAGGGGCTGGTTACAAAGGAAATGGGTAAGAAAGAGGCAATAGAGCTGTACAAAAGGACACCAGAGGCCAGAGGCATTCTAAGGATCCATTTGTACAGAAACCAACATCAGAAACTTTCAGAGAACAGAACATGGGCACTGTGACCTGTTAAAATTTTGTTTCACACAGGAAGCTGACTCACTTTCACAAGATACAATCTGTAAGAAGCTTTATTAAAGAAAAGATTAGAGGTTTTTAGATGTTTACATTAGATGAGATGACATTAGGGATCCAAGTCCCAAAGCTCATGCAAAGCATCTCCTCATGCAAAGCATCTCCTCATGCAAAGTGCAGTGCTAAGCTGAACAAAGGTAGAAGGAGGTGGCAATTTTATTCAGTTGCTTACCTTTCATTGTGTTACAAATTTACTTACTGTTCAATGAGAAATATTTGTTTGAAGTTTGAGTCAAATGCATCAAGGAAGCAGTACTCACCTAGAATGAATAATCAAGTGATTATATGTAATTCCAGTATTTTAAAAGATTATATTTCTAATAATTAGCATCAGATCAATGACTATCGATCATAGTAGAACACCAGTTCTCTTTGTCCTTCCAAATCCAGCTGCATTAATTTCTTTTCAGCCTGCATAGCAGTACACACTTAGAGCCTCATAACCATAATGGGTTTTCAGCACAGAGAGACACAGGACAGGAGAGAGGCGGTTCCCCCTCTCCTTTCAGCAACAAAACCCGTTCTCCAGGCCCTGCAGGGTGAATGTGCCATGCATTTATTTCTCCATAGGTCCTCCCACAGTAGGATGGGGTTGTAAAAGCAAGGGTGGGAGGGGCAAGAAGTCTCCTTCACTGTCCTGCAAGGACTCCTAAAGAGGAGGATGCATGGGAGCAGCACCTCTGATGGGAATCTGGCAGTCACTTTAGGTGAGGAGGAGAGAGTATGAGCCTGGGTGATGCCACGCGTGGAACTCAGCTGTACTTGTAACCAGCCTGGGTTACAAACCTGTCCCATGACACCTGGGACAGATTGCAGTGTGCCTTTTACAGTCTTGGTGAGCAGTAAGACAAAGTAGGAACCTTTCCAAATGAGTGAATACATGACTCATGCATTTAATTGCTGCAATAAGCCTGAAGCTTTTGATTCAAAATCTGCCAATAATTGTGAAAAGTAAATCCTTATTCTTTTATCAGAGAAGGGACCAGTGCTTTCCCTGAGTCTGGGGAATGGTGCTGACTGATAAATGGACTGACTACCTCACAGGTATTCTGTTGATGTGCAGATCTTTGCTGGTTTAATATTTCAGTCTGGGTTGCATGAAGTACAATTGGAACAAGAATGAAGGGAGAAAGGATTAACTAAAAGTAGGTTCTCACCACAAGTGATGTTCATTCTATAGCTGAGAAGGGCTAGTTGTCACCCTCATATTACTGCACACTAGTGGGTAACTGGGTCCTGGTGGAGAATACCACCTGATGTGGCTAGCTTCTGTTATTCCATGGCTGCTTCATTTCATGCTATTTCAGCTACCAGGACTGCCCCGTACTGATACAGTGGTGACACTGACTCTGTGTCTTTCTCTGCAATGACAACTATTCAAAGTAATTTTATAAAAGTTTGTGCGGATGTAGCCATCCTGCCAGAAATGTGAATTTAAACAAGGTTCTGGTGTTTTCCTTGCACATGTAGTCAAACTTGGCAAAGGTAGGAAGTATTAAAAATGTTATTGTCTTCTGTGTTCAGGAGTTTCAGCCTTCTCTTTAATCTTGAACAAGCTGCTTCTCACAGCCAAACTTCTCTGGCTCGTTGGACATTGTAATGGTTGTTGTGTCCTTGTCTGAGGAGTGGCACTCCACAGACCAAACGTCTGAAACAAAGATGTAACCAGCAGTAGTGAGCTCCTAACAGACCAGTAGTAAGCTCCTATTAGACAAGATAGCATTTGTTATCAATGGGATGAATAGGATTTTCCTTCCCTCTCCAAAATGCTTCTTGTCTTATCTCTTACTCCAAAACAAACTTTTAACCTATCCCCTAGCTTAGAAGCAGCATACTGTGTGAAGAAATTGAAGCTCACATAGTTGGCGTAAACATATTGAAAAATATCTGTACTTTCTCCCTAGAGGAAAGAGTAGGGCTTGCATTCCGGTAGGACAGCTTGGTGAGTCAGATCCAGTCACCTATGCCCACAGCACTTCTTACGTGGTTATTTTGCACTTTCGCAAAGCAACAAGTGTTGCATGGTTTGTGACTGGGCCTGTCTGTGCTCATTCTGAAAGTAGCTCTTCGTCAAAAATTAAAAGTGTGATTTTGGCACTGGCGTAACTCC